CTTTGTTCTTCTTTTTCTTTTTTTCTGTACCTTAACAAACCAAGAAAATTCCAAAATCATTTACTATTTTTTCAGTACTTAATATGCATACATTTTGTTTCAAATAACAAAACATATCTTTAAAATAACAATATTTTTCACTGATTTGAATACTGTAAAGAAAATTGTGTAATTTCACAGCCAAACTTGAAAAGAACAAGATTTCTGATGTGGACATTATTGATTGGATTGGACTGCTTTTTATAATTATCATGTAAATTAATATTTTTTCAGTGCGTTAACTAGATGTTATCTATACTTCAACAAAACAGAGAAAACTAGTAAATTAACAGCTTAGAAAATTAATCACAGTTTTTCAATCTGTAATTGCATAATTTTTCTTTCAAATTATGGCAAATATCTGCAATATAACAACACTTTTTGTTGATTTAAATACAGTGAAAACTGTAATTTCATGATCAGATGCAGCAAAACAGCTATCTACTATTTCTGAAAATAAGATAAGATAAGATATGCCTTTATTTATCTCACAGTGGAGAAATTCAAAATGTTGTAAGTTGTTGTTTCAAGTTGTTGTAAACAGCAGTACACACAGATACACACATATTAGAAAGACAAAATTACAAATACGAAGTAGTGCAAACATAAGTATAAAAATACATATATAAAAAAAAGATAGTTGCACTATCCTTTTTTTTGCAAGCAAATAAATTTATATATATTTATTTTCTTTGCTTGCACTGTTCTGTATATATATATATATAGGTCTGTATTTATTAGCAAATTGTTCAATAATTTTATTGATTATCTGTAATTTCGGAAAACAATAAAAGTGTATAAAAATAAGAGCTAAAAGTTGTTTAGAACTGTGAATAAATAAATAAATAAATTGGGTGCCGCACAGAAGGGGGCGCTGCTGCGACAAAGGCGAGCGCCGTCCGTCTTATAAAACTACAGAAGAAGAAGAAAAAAGGAAGCGGGGGAACCAGGAAGTAGGGCTGCAGAGAAAAGTCTGCTGTCCTTAAAAGGCTGTGTTTTCTACCTTAGCGGGGTTTCTAGTCGTATCCACAATGTCTAAAAACACAGTGTCCGACCGCTTCAGGAAAGTAGACGTAGATGAATACGACGAGAACAAGTTCGTGGACGAGGAGGACGGAGGAGAGAACCAGGGAGGACCGGACGAAGCAGAAGTGGACGGTCTGCTCAGACAATATCCTTTAGCGGGGTTCAGCGGCGTCAGCAGCCGCTAGCTGTGACACCGGGGTCGGGCAGCAGGCTGAAGGCTACACGGAGGCCTGGATGTAGGTTTAACTCCAGTGCTTCTCAGTGTATTGTTCTAAATTCAAAATGGCTCATATTACTTCGTTAAAATGATGCATGGGTGACATTTACGTGGCACATTTTTTTGCATGTAGCGGCTCGTTTTCGTGGAGTCGCTGTCAAAAAGTGGTTTCCGGGTGTCAGACTCAGCAGGAGGGTGTGGCCCCTTCACATATTTTAGTCCTCACGTTAAGAAAATGGGCGTTTTTGAACACATTTTGTGCTCTTTATTTGCCCCAGGTTTATGTGCTAAATAACTAGTTTGCTGTAAAGTTTTTGGCAGTTCAGTGCCTTCACTGTTGCCAGAAAAATGAATCATTAGCTCAGTGTTATGCCCCGGTCTAGGGGAACCTTGAGCATAGCATTGATGTTGCTCCACACCAGTCTCTCCACCTCGAAGAAGGCCAGCCACAACAAGTCAGGTAACAAAAGATGAGCAGTTTCTTTATTTTTATCAAACAAGGAGGGGAAACAGGCCAAAACAACAAACAAAACCTATCCTACCTTACTCCTGACTGCCAGAAAAGAAAAAGCAAATAAAAGACAACAATCTTACCTACCTAATAACAAAAAAACAGGAGAAAAGGTACAAAAGAAAAGGGCCTCTCCCTCCTACTCTGCTCTCCAAATATAAGTGTACGAAGGGTCACCACAGGACTCAGGATCTGCTTTCAAACAATTCTGTACAAGCACACGACTGCTGCGTCCTCCTGAGGTGCAGTTACACGGGTCTGCTGGCTTTCCCAGAGGTGGTGAGGCTGGAGGTGAGGAGACAGGACCACAGCTGGCGGGCCGTTTAAATACTGGGTTGGCCCGCCCTCTGACCAATGGTGTGGCTGGAAATCGGCGCGGCAGCAGGTGAGCCAGCCAACCCGGGGTCACCACCTGCTCCTAATTCATTCGTTCCACCACACTCATGCACACACACACTCACACTGGGGACAGACACAAGCAGCAAAACCACAAAACACCACAGATGACCCGCACAGGGTCATAACACAGGTGTCAAAAAGTGATCCTCTGCCAAAACCTGGCTGCTGTCGGTGGGATCGAGGATCTACTTCTTCAAGCTGTACTGCAGGTATATCTACATCAGGGCTGCAAAATTAAAGATTGCAAACATTTTCTGTTATTTTCTCCATCAGTTGATCAGTAATTTGGTCTATAAGTGGGTCAGGAAATGGTGTAAAATGTCAGTGAGTATTTCCCAAATCAAAGTTGACAAATTGTTTTGTACACAAACAGTATTTAGTTTATTGTAACAGAGGAGGATAAAAAAAACAGAAAATATGCACATTTAAGAAGCTGCACTCAGAGAATTTAGACCTTTGTTCATGAAAAATGACTCCTACCAGGTAATTGAGTAACAAAATAGTTGGCGATTAATTAATTAATTAATAATTTCAGTCTACAGCTGCTTTTACGTGGATCAAACAGTCACACCATGCAAGTTCACATAAATTTATAGTTGTGTGTGTTTGGGAAACGCTAATATTTCTTGTCGCTGATGAACTGTGGCCCAAAACATGTAATTTGAGCTGATTATAGGCAAGATTATGGTATTACTTCCAACCTTTTTGCTGTGTGTGTTGGTTTGTTTAATATACTTGATTAGATTGTAATTAATAGGAGTTACAGATGGATTTAATATAGAGAGGAATGATCTCTTTTGTCGTTATCATATGAGCTATAATCTTTAAAATATAACCCACATAAATGGCTTTAGGTCATTTTAGTGCATCTAGACATCCATCCATCCATTATCTATACACAGCTTAATCCTCACTAGGGTCATGGGGGGCTGGAGTCTATCCCAGCTGACTCAGGGTGAAGGCAGAGGACACCCTGGACAGGTCACCAGTCTATCACAGGGCTACACTTAGAGACAGACAACCAAGCACACTCACATTCACACCTACAGACAATTTAGAATCACCAATTAACCTCAACATGTTTTTGGACTGTGTGGGAGGAAGCCGGAGAACCCGGAGAGAACCCACGCTGCACGGGGAGAACATGCAAACGACATGCAGAAAGATCCCGGGTGTCCTCACTGGGACGCAAACCGGCGACTTTCTAGCTGCAAGGCAACAGTGCTAACCACCGAGCATCTTGCAGCTCCTGTATCTAGAACATTTCGGTCATAATGTCGGGCCTGCAGTGACCTTTTAGGAAGTAGAAAATTGCATTAATATGAGTTTAATCAGTCCTTTAAAACCATTTCAACACATAGAAACAACTGGATTGGTTGTAGTCCGGTGCACGGAGCAGGTAAAATAATGCAGAGACCTGAGAATACTTTCAAAAGAAATCATGACTGTTTGATCCAGATAAAAGCGGCTGTAGATTCAGATGTATAAACTGGGTGATGCAGCTTTAAATTACCGCCTGCAGGCCCCCTAAAGCTTTTATGTCTAATTAATTTCCCTAAATGCTAATTAGTGAGAAATTTACAGTTTTCTCAATGTCGGATTTCACTACAGGCAAGATAAAGACTAATTACAAATTTTGCCTCACTACCTACATATATTAACTCTAACGGGTTCTCCGTTCTCTAATCCTGCTTCTGTGACTTCTGTGTGTCGACGAATGAACACAAGGAAACGCACACAAAAACTCATATGTATTGTTTAGTCATTAGAATGCTGTATATCTGCAACCAACAAATATTTTCACTAGTTCTGTCTCATCTTTTAAGACAGTGTATAGAAAATAATTCAGCAGGTATTATACACATATGATTAGCATGATGTGTCGAAGCACCGCCACTAAAAGCTCAATGTAGTGCTGGTAAAGGCATGAGGGGCAACAATCAGTGAATCAGAGTTAGATTAGGGTTTACATCACCAATATTAGATTTCTAACGACTTAGATTTCTTAGCTGCCGCACCAACCTGAAACTCAACAGTTAGCGTAAGGAGCTGGTGAGACAGTCATCGTTCTACTCAGAGACTTGTGGTTACGTAAATAACTAACTATAGCCCCCGTACATGGGTCACCCACCCAACCCGTTGAGCTATCCGGCCACCCTAATATAGTTCGTTTTATCATATTCACGCAGCCTCTCTTCCTTGGATAATTAATCAATTGATTTATTAGTGTTTAAAATGCCCCAAAATAGAGAGTTTTCCTGGCATTTATAGAAATGTGTCATAAAAAACCTGCAAAAGTAGCCTCTGAAAAGATGAAACAACTGAGTTTTTGATGTTTTTTAATCGATAAATAGAATAAAATTATCGTCCATGATCAGTAAATTTCATCAGCTACAGATGACTGATTGGTTTCTGTATTGGAGGATCAATGGGGCCCAACAACAAAGTTCTGCTCAGGGGGCGATGCTGTAATCACGGGTTTTATCATTTACTGCTCTTATTGTGATTCTAATACAGACTTGAAAGCACAGCAAAGAACATTTAAAACAAAGTCCAGACTGTCTGTTCCCTCACTCTGCAGTAACAGCGACTTCCATTTATCTGGAGTTGAAACAGGGAACCGACACGTATCTCTGTCCTCTGTGTTTGTTCCTTGACTGATGTTCTTTAAGGGGAACATGAATGGAGCTCTACAGGCTGTACTGAAGAACCCTCCAATCAACACCAAGAACCAGAATGCTAAGGTACCAGTGTTTCCCTTTAATACATCTTCTCCACTTTGAATGACGATGTTCCTCACTTGTTGTTTATTGTTGTTGTGGATCACCAGGTTAATTATTTCAAGCATGAGCAAGTTCACTGGAGTGTTTTCATGATTTTATATTGTGAGAAGACAAAAAGTGACACAAAACACAATCAGTGAAAAGGTTCTAAATGGATGAAAACAGAAACTCCTTCAGTTGATTCATGTCTTTCACGATGTTTTTGTGATGGAGGAAGTCACGTTTGTTTTAAGATTTGAAAAAGACCAATGTAAAAGTTGCTGGGAACCCTGGATTAAGTAAGAACCATTTATTCAGACTTTATCCAAACTAACAGGAGATACTTCAGCTCTCTGAGGTGAGCTCTCACAGCTACTCCTGTGGAAGTGGTCCAGATGAGTTTTTTGTTTGTTTAAGGATTTAAAATAGTTTAATGTGATTTTTCACATGTACATCCACTCCTTCCTTTCTTCAACCACATTTTATTTATTCATTTTACCTAATCTACTTTTATTTATTTCTTTTGTCTCTTTTTCTTTCTTGCTTTTTGTATTTCTTTGTTAATTGCTCTTATTTTTTATGTCCATTGTCTCTATTTAGTGTTTTATTTTTTCGTCTTAACCGTCTTTTTTTAAGTGTATTTTTCTTTTTCCTGCTCCTAATTTTACCTACTAAAAATGTATACTTATTTCTGTATTTATTTATTAGTTTTTCTTTCTTTCTACTTCTTACGTTCTTTGGCCTTAACTTCAATTATCTTTATTTTTATTTTTAAATGTACATATGCATGACTTTCATACTACATACATACCTCTATGGATTAAAGTAGGAATATACTGTTTTCTTTTTGTTATTCTAATGTCATTCTCCTGGCTTTACATATTTAAAATAGAAATTTGGCGACATTGTGTTACATAATAAGTATATCTCAAAAAGCTAAAATAACAACAGTAAAAATCAGCAGCCAGCCATCAAGACAGTTTTCTTCATTCTAACTATAGGTGAGGTTTCCCTCAGTATTCTGTTTTCCAAGAAGGCTGTGTCACTTTGGCCTCATCACAAGTACTAATGTGTGTGATAACCTGATCAGATCATCATTACTGGTTTAAGCATGTGTTCTCATTTAATGTCAGCTTTTAATAGATCTGCGTTCGCTAATGTAGGAAGTACTTTAACAAAAAGAGGAATAAAGACAGACGTCAGTTTTATTCTGAGGATGCTGCTCAGTGACAATGTCAGATTCTGCATTTTAGCACGTAATAGGAACATGTAACAGGCGATGCTGCAAACACAAACTCCAACAGAACTTAAAATTGGCAGTTCAAATAAGAGTATGACAACACTTAGTATTTACATTTCTGCATTTTAGCAAAGTGCAGTGCTGTTTCCCTCATTGAAGAGTTCTTCCAGCTCTTGACGTCTCTCCCTAATTTCTGGAACTTTGGTACTGACGTTTGTAAATGTACAAATATCCCAACATTTCTGTTTTCATGCCGTTCATACTTTTCTAATTTAAACTCCCATGTAAATTGGATGCATAGATGGTATGCTGACATATATTGGAGCTCACTGTGTCTCTTATTTGTCATTAGAATTCACTTTCTGTTATGTTTTGATCTGAAAACTCAGCTGCAGAACAGCGTCTGTATTACAGCAGATCATTTAGCTTCATGTTGTCTAACAGACTGTTTTCTCCCTGTATGTGTGTGTGTTGGTTTAGGAGCGAGCAGAGCTACTGGTGGTCAAAGTGCTGAGTAGTTTTAAGAGCAGCGACATTGAGAAAGCTGTGGGCTCGCTGGACAAAGCAGGAGTAGACCTGCTGATGAAATACATCTACAGAGGCTTCGAGAAACCATCTGACAACAGCAGCGCCGTCCTGCTGCAGTGGCACGAAAAGGTAAAGAGCTGGTAACGATTAAAAATGTATTCAGCCTTGAACTGAAACAAAAATAACATGCTGCCACAGATGTGTAGCAGTTTCTACCAAATTATTAGCCTTGGAAAAAGCCAAGTTTTATATCGCAATCTATGTCTTATGTATACAATTGTGGCTAAAGTCTGGATTCATGTTGACGGCTGAACAGCACAATCCAAACTGTTGAACCACAATTCAAAAGCAATGTCATGATTATCATAAAATGTCTATTTATTACTACTTTTGTCAGCTTAACTTATTTCCGTGACAGCTGTTTTTTTTTTTTTCTTTATTGGGAGGCTATGAATACAGTTGAGGACGACTGTAGCTCAGACTGTAGTTCAGAAACTTAACTTTAACAAGTTGATCGCCAGCTTTGTGTGACTGTTCAGCCTGACTGTAGCTGTTAGGTTTAGTCAGCAGCATTCTGGGTATTTTGAATGTATTTCATACCTCAGAGACCTACACGATGAAGCACGATCAACATACCCAGGATGCCTTTTCATGATCGGGCTTCACTAAGCTTAACAACAGCCGTCCTTCAGAGCAGATCAACTGGAATGAAAGTTTTTACAAACGAAGGGTAATATTGGAAAAACATGATGAATGAAAGCTGCAAAAAAAAAACTGCAGCGAGTCATCATCAAGCATCACAAGATTATATAATGAACTTACAGATGTGGTCCCTTTATTCCACGCACGAAAAACACCAAATATTGAATGACTAAATAACTAAGTAGTAAAACTGTTTCCATGGTGACGTGGAGGATGAATTCAGTAATCTCACATTCAGTGTCAATTTTCTTTTTTTAGTGTGTAAGACACTTTAAGTTTTATTCTTTCCGCTGGGAGCAAGTAAAGAACAAATAGAAAAACGTCATTCAAACTGATAAGTACACTTACTGCAAATCTTATAAGGTCAACAAGCAATCCTTTAAGGCTTTAGTCACTTTCTGTTTGAAGATTATATCACACCACAAAGGCAGATAGAACAACGACATGGCTTTAAAATCACTTGCAAACTCTGACACTTCCCTCTCGCTATGTGTGCACCGAGCTCCACTGAGTCTCTGAGGAACAGTGATGCCGTTTTTCAAGAGAACTGATTGGTCGGTTTGCACTTCAATACGTGTTGATCTCTTATTTGGTACATAACCTGCTCAAGGGCAAGAGTTCAGCATAAGTTGCCATGGAGATATGACCTGTGAACGAGCATCATGGTGCAAAAAAAACTAGGGATAAGACAGATTATCATCATTATCACAGTTAGCAGCGTCCTGATTTAATCACTCCTGTTTCTATTTGACATTTACAGCCCTTCATAATGAAGAGGCCTAGTTGTGTATGGCAGGTTCTCTGCTATCAAACGCTGTTAAAACATTACATTTAACATGCATCGCTTCCAAATATCAGTTATCAGCCTTTCTTGATTACCAATAATTGACATCGGTATCAGCCCTACAAAGAACCCAGAGTTAAACCTGAAGTTACCTCACTGACCTCAAACCCTGCCTCACAGTTCGGGCTTCAGGTTTCAAATCGCATGTAAATGAGCATCCTTGGAGTTGAGGCTTAATGAATTCCATGTGTTTGTGTCCTCAGGCTCTGGCCGTGGGAGGCGTCGGCTCCATCGTCAGAGTCCTGACTGCCAGGAAGACGGTCTGATGATCCCAGAACCTGCAGAGTCCAGCTGTAAACAGACATCAGTCAGTCACCAGAGCTGACTCTCTGTTTGTGGACTTTTATTTTTGTACCGGAGCTGAGCGTCGTTCTGATGCACTTCTTTCCTCCTTTTTGTTTTTGTTTTTTTTCCCCCTGCATTCACTCTTTTCACTTCCAGCTCTGGGATGTAGGAGTGCTGGCAGTCAGGCAGGGAGATGCTGGCACCTCACACTGTCTGTGCTCGCCAGCTTCGCAGAGAGAAGCTTCACTCAGACACAAAGCAGCTCCTTCGCTTCTTCAAACTGCTTCCCGGCTGCTCTGCTCCTGCTCCTCCTCCTCCTCCTCTTCCTCCTCCTCTTCAGCTTTCCTGCTTCTCCTTCCTCCTCCGCTCTGGAGCCTTTGACTCATCCAGGTTGAGGAAATGGAAAAGATGGATGGACTGTCATTGACTGGTGTTTTCCCGCCTTTCGCCCGGTGCATGCTGGGAGTGGATTTATTTTTACCCAAACCATTCTAACTTTCTGAACATGTTTGTTCATTGACTCTCTTTTTTTTTTTTTCTACTTACACCAGAACCATGCTGTTTTGTTGAGCCTGAGCCTTCAGGTTGTACTGCTTATAGTGATTCTTTTTTTTTATCTGAAACAAGAAAAATAAAGTGCTGAACCTGAACAATGACTAAGTATTTACAGTGTGTACTTTAAAAAGAAACGTTTCTCCTTCAGTTTAACCTCTTTATACATGTAAATATGCTGGTTAACAATGTGTGTAAAGCTGCCATCAATGCAAACAGAAGCTACTCTGAGGAATCTTTTTCTGTTCACAACATAAATCCATGTTGTTTCGTAGTTTTTCTGTAGAAAACTGTGTCCAAACTGTTCACTGTTACTGTATATAAACATATTAGTGTTACCATAACAATGTAAGTCCACTTTTCTTAGGCCTAACTTTAATTTCACATTTTTGTTCTTTAATCAACATCACAATTCATCAACTTAATACGGAAACGGGTTAATATGAGACGTAAAATGCACAAATTTTAACTGTTTACTGTCCATTGCCCCACTGAAAATACTGTGAAGTCCTGTTTGGTGCTTTTGATAACACTGACAATAAGTTACTCTGAACACACAGATTCAGGTTTATTGTCCAAACAGAAAAAAAAATGCAGTATACAGGTTCCACACACACAGACAGCTAATCAGACACACTGGTACCAAATGAGACGGGAGTGCAGCTCTGACCCACTCCCATCACGTGAAATGCGTCGCTTTCTCTCTCCTAAAACTGAAAAAAAATAAAATAAAATCTGGGACGTCCCACGTGGGCTGAAAGTGTCAGCTACTCTGTCGCAGTAGGATAAGACCAGTTGGCACATTATCAAAACAAAAACTATCATTAAATAATAAGTTCACTCTTGACCAAACAATTCTCAGACAAAATATTAATTGATCGAAGTCCACGTCGCAGTTAATTTTGGATTCATCTCCATAATAACTGCGCGAACGCTGCCTGCTGATGAGAGCTCAGGAATATTTATTTGCCTTTTTTTTTTTCTCCTCAGTTAACTGGTTTTGTCTATAAAATGTCACAAGTAAAAAAAGAAAAATGTCTGGAGCCCAAGGTGAAATATTTACATTTTATTCACCCAACAATTCAAAACCCAAAGACTCGGATCAGGCAGGAGCTAGAAATTATTGTTGCTTCGTTTTTTGCTTTGAAAAAACAAAAACAAAAAAAAAGGTTTTTAGTTTTAACTGAGATGTTCCAAACTGGATACAGGAAAACTGTAAAACCAACTGCAATCTATGGAAGACCAATTCTGCAAGTACATTAGAATTTTAGATTTTTTTAAATTATGTACAGGATAAATCAAAATTAGGTACTTTTATCG